GGGGGGTTTTAATATCTTACAGCTTGGTTGGGCACCAGATCTTAGTTTGTCAAGTATACTGTGTGAAAGCAAAACATTTAAAGAAAATTTTTCTTGTTGATGAATGTTGCAATTTGCAACATTCATCTGATTCTGCGTGTATTCGTTTGTCTTTCTGAATCCTTTATTAAGCCAAACGTCCCACGTTTCTGCCTTAATTCGTCCGTAAGTGAATTTCAGCAATCTCTTCGTAGAACGGCTTATCATTTTTCAGTCATAATCAGCTTATAATCTGCACCACCATATCCTTCGTTCAAAATTTCATTTACACGAACTTGAGGCTTAATTCCATCTTCAATATGCCTCGTCCCATCTCACCAGAAAGTCCTCAACTTCCCACCTCTAAAGTTCTGCCATGTACTGAATAACTTACACCGCTAGCTGATTCTATGATTTCTTCCCCAGGTATTCCAAAGTCTCTCCCCATCCTGAAAGATGGTAATTCCAAGGGAATAATAACTTTAGCTCGGCTTGAATGAAACAACTAAAGTTACAATGGCAACTAAATTAACAATGGAATGCTGGACAATACCCTCATCGTTCTTGAGAAGTATCCCAGCTCTAGCTGAGAGAGTACCTTAACTGATTAATGAATGCCAGGGAAACATATTTTTGGTTTAATTATGTTACTACAGTACTAATTTTTTTTTTTCATTATGTTACTATAGTACTAAATGTTATGTCCCAACAATATAATTCTCACATCGAATAATGCAGCCGAACATTATTGGAGTTCTCACCCTGTAACTCACACGAAAACAGTGTGCGAGCACACTGTGGGTACTCCCACAGTGTAACTAACAGACTGTGGGGTGATCACCATGTAAACTACCATATAGAATAATGTGGCTGCACACATGTGAGTTCGGTCACAGATCTTCATACCGAATATTATGTTATTATTAAAATCAAGGGGGAAGCGCTAAACTGTAGGATTATGCAGCGCTAGTGGGGGGGGGGTGGAAGGTATTCAGGCTAAATGCAGTGAACTGGAGCTCAGATCCAATTCCTAGATCACGAGCCCTCACCATGCGTCAAGGAACCTTCCTTGAGGGGACCGAATATTATAGTCGGACACTACGTGTGTTCCTACCATGTACCTATAATATAGAATACAGTAACAACATAATGCTGATGTGAAAATTGTGTTTAAATAATCGATCATTCCCCTTCTTCCCTTTCCATTCTGACTCCCAGGTTCATTTTCATTCCCAGGGTGAACCTACCTGTGTAGTATTAGCTGACAGGGATCTTGGTGTTCTGGGATAGGTGCTATACACAGTGTTGTGATAGGGGACGGAGGCACAGATATGGATGCTGCCGAAACCACCTTCCTCTGGAGTACTGGGACTCTTCTTCTGTCTCTCACCGCTTCCTGCAAATGTAAATATTGTCATTCTAGGAATATCTCGCATCTTTCACGATTTTTTTATGTTAACGAATCAATATTTCAAGTAATAAATAATTAGACCAATATTTTAATGTTTTCTTTATTATTTATTTCTAAAGCACAGATAGAATTTATAATTAATATCTAACCCAAAGATATAAGTTAAAAACAAGATGAGATTTCGGTTTAGTGTTTATTTCCAATTTTTTTGGATTAGTTGAATAATATTTCAGCAGCAGTATTGTAACCTCCATTTTTCATATTTGCATAATAAACAAGGAATCATATTTGATACTGAATCTAGAACCAACACAAATCTTAGACCAGATTAGAACTTATTATTAATATTTTTCAAGAGTACAATGAATATCGACAACTTAAGTTCTCACAGTAATCTTTAACATAAATAAATCTTGCATCTGTTGTTTAGGAAGAGATAAAATAAAATGTGATTTCAACAATAAGGTGGGATAAGAAAAATTAATGGCACAAATGATCCCTCAGGCGCAAACGATACAACATAGAGTCAACGCAGCAGATGAGTATTGTATATCTTAGTTTACGACTGAAAACCTCATTTAATTGGTCTTGATAATGGTCTAAGACTAACAGAAAAGTTGCCTCCGTGTTGGTTCGTTTGTGTTTATGTTAACCCAGTCACTTACCGTTGGAGGGGATGAGGTCAGGATTCTTGTCGTCGAAATCCCGAGTATCAGCCAAGAACGTTTGAAGGGGCAGTGTGACATCCTTATTCCTCAAACAGTGATTTTTCTTGAGACTGACCACCACTGCTACCACAAGTGCCAGTAGCACCAGCGAACCCACCACTGCCACCACCACTGCCAATATGGGAGTGACGGACACTAACTCTTCTGGTGGTGGACGAACTTGGGCAGTGCGCCTTTCCGCAATGTCTTTAATAGTATAACCTGTCAGATACCACTTTTTTCCGTTTGGACCTTTCTCTTTTCAGCTAAACATGAACTATAAAAGAATTTTTCGGGCAGTCCCGCGGGAAAAATTGGGGGGCCCGGTGTTTTTCTGTAATATTTAGAAACAAGGGGTTTACTGCCCCCCCCTCAAAAGCCCCCAATAATAAAACTTTTGCAAAAAGACCCCCCCAACGTATCCAGGACAAGTGTACCTCAAGGCCCTCTGCGTCGGGTTTAGTAAGGTTGCAATTCTCAGGGGGGTTGGGGGGTTTGCCTCCCAGGTACAACCTTATAAGCACACGGTTTTTTTTCTGCCTGCCGGGGGCATTGCTCCCCCCAGCAGGGGAAAGGGGGGGGGGGGTTCCCCACCCCGGTTTCGTGCCACGAAAGGAAAGGAGGACTGAAGTCCCTGCGTGCTACGTGATTTTCTGCGTTAAACTACGTCGCCGCGTTTGTTAAAACCCAAAAAAAATGAACAACGGGAGGAGGGCCATCCAGACAAACAAGTAATTTAAACCTTTTCCCTTTTCTTTGCACGCCGTAAACGTGAAGCTGACCAAGGCCCCACACGGGGGAGCATCTAAGGGCAGCAAAATACTTTCAGAACCCATAAACTAAAATAAACTGGTTATTACAAATAAAAACCACTTTTTTTTGGGGCAAAATGACAAAAAAAATTTTTCTGGCAGTAACCTTGACAACGTATCATAACAAAAAATTAGTAACCCTAATAAAGGGGCTAATAAACCCCTGATACTTTACGCTAAAGAGAAACCCCCAAAGCCCCCCTTTTGCCCCTGACCTTAAATCTTATAGACCCCCAAACCGGGGTTTGTTTTTAAGACTTTTATTTGGAAAAACAGCTCGCCTTTTTATCTTTAAAAAACGGAAACTTAAAAATTTTGGGGCATCTTAATTGGGGGTAAGCCTTAGAATGAAAAAAAATATTTAATTTTTGGAAATCATTTTTCCAAACAGATTTTTTAGCACACCTTTGCTATCTCTTTTCAAGGATGGGGGGACGGGAGAACTTGGGAATGCTATAAATAAAACGTAAAAGGATGCTGAGAGGACCCGACAGGCAAAAAAAAACAGAATTTTCAGAGATGGGAAAGGGGAGTACATGGGAAACAGCGGGAAGTTGAAAATTTTCAGAAAAGTTTATAAGGATTTTTGGGAAATTTAATTTTTCAGCCTTAAGTAGCGGGAAGTGGAACAAACATGGAAGGGAAAAGGGGCAGAGACACGAGCTAAACAAAATTTTAAAGAAGATTTACGTAAGGTTTGGGTGCAGCCATACCCCACCTCTTGAAAAAGCTGGGCCCCAGGAGCTTGAAAACCGGCCCCTACACCGAATATAAGGGAGTACCACATCCCAAAAAAACACACAGAGGCGGGGCCGAGCTGAATCTCGACCCCGCAACCACAATTACTGATACAACTAGTAGTAACACTATGCCCGGGCCCCTTTAACCACGTAGGTGAACACACACACACACACCCACCCCAAAACACACACACACACATCAACCAATAACTGTTCGGGGCAAAAGGGCCCGCCTGGAAAACCCTGAAAAAGGGCGACCCGATACCTCAAAAGGAAATTCGTTCAAAATTCTGTACACCATGAAACGTCGGGGGCCCATACGGGAGTATGCTAAAGGGGCCCCAAGCCTCCTTTTTGACCCTGACCCTTGATCATATAAGAAACGGGGTGTTTTTTTTTTAAATTTTTTTATTTGGGAAAAAACAGCCGCCTTAATGGCTGTAAATACGGTACTTAATAATTAGCATCCATTCAGGGAAGCCTTGGGAATGAAAAAAAAAATTTTTAATTTTTTGGGAAAAAAATTTTCCCAAAACAGTTTTTTTTTAGGCACCTGCTACTCTTACCCAAGGAGGGGGGACAGGAGAACTTAGGATGCTATGAAAACAACCCCAAAAATCGGAGAGGACCCTACAGGTAAATAGAGACAGAATTTCCCAAGAGATGGGAAAGGGGATACATGGGGAACGGGTGGAAGTTGAAAACTCAGTTTAAGGGGTTTTAAAAGGGATTTTAAAGGAAGTAATTCTTAAAGCTTAGATAGTCGGGAAGGGAACGACAGGGAAAAGAAAAGTGGCAGAGACCAAATTTTTACATAAATTTAAGAAAAGGTACGAAAAAGGGCTTGTGCACCCTTACCCACCTCTTGAAGAGCTGGCCGGGGACTGAAAATGGGGCCCCTACAACCAAAATATAAGGGAGTACCCCAATACACATAAACACAAAAGGGCGGGCCAGGAGCTGAATCTCGACCCCTGCAACCAAAATTTACGTGAGTACAACGGGGTGAGAAAACCACATGACTGGGCCCCCTTGTAAAAAACAGTAAGGTGAGAAAACCACAACACACACACACACCACACACACACATAAACCAAATTAACTGTTGCAGCATAATGGGCGCCGGGCAAACCAAAAATAGCGATCCATACCTCAGAAAGGGAAAATCTTTTAAAAATTTCCGGGACACCATGAAAGCCCAGGCCCAAACCGGGAGTATGCAGCCCCCGTTGGAACCCAAAAACCGGTAAAACACATAAAGGGAAAATTGAGAAATGCAAAGTTTTTGCAACAAACTGTTCCAGAGTTTAAGGAAAAGCCCCTGCGAAAAAAAGGTTTTAAGGGAAATGGGCCTGAAAACAGTAACAAGGGTTAGGGAAAAACTTTCCAAAAATACAAAAACTCCGGGGAAAATTGAAAAGGTGGGCAGGACGGGATGTTCCATAAAATGGGACCCCAGCACAAGGGCACAATTGGAACGGAAGATTCAGTTTAAGCAAAATAAATGTTAGGAAGTTTTTTTTTAGTCATAGATTTGCCCGGGAAGGGGAATAGTCTGGGCAAGTATGAAGGGGAGCCGGGGACCATACAAGTTTTAAGACGAGGTTTGAAAAGCTCTGGAGCGGGAAGAAGAGGGGACCTAGTAGCGATCAGTGAAGAAGCGAGGCCCCCAAGCTATGACCCCGATACGTGATCATGTGGCTCTGAGCTTGGGAATACATAGTAAGTTACAATTTAAAAGGGGGAAAAAGAAGGGCCGGGAAAAAATGAAGTCAAACTACTTTAAAAGGGGGGAAAAACGCAGGCATGAAGAATTCCTGAAAAGGGATTCAAGGGGAAAAGAGAACGGGGGGGAAGTCCCTAAAGGGAGATAAAGGAAATTCGTGACAAAAATAACAAGGAAAGCCGAAGAGGGGGTTTTTGCCCCAAAGGGAAACGGGAAAAACAAAACCCCGAGGGACCCCGGGTTCACCCAAAGGTCGGGGAGGCCAAAACCAAGTTGCTGGGAAAATGGAAGGGGTATAAAAAGGCAAAGGACCCAGAAAAAAAAGGAGACCCATTGATACCCAAAATAATATGCAAAAGAAAAGAGGGGCATAGCAGAAAAAACCAAATCTAAACCCAAAAGCTGTTGTACGGGTAAAATCAAGAGGAAAACAACAGTCAAGGACCATGAAATTTAAAGGCGGGGAAAAGAAGGGGGGGAGATCCCAAAAAAAATGATCCTAAAAATAAAAATGGGGAGTTCAAAAATGAATTCAAAGAATTTCAAAGAGAGGGAAAGGGGCCCTCCAAAAGGGGGAGAGGGGGTACGCCATCAAGTGTGGACACAATACATCAACCGGGAAGAAGTGAAGAGGTTTGCTAAGGGGCCCAGATCCTCAAAGGCAAGGGGGCCGGTTTGCATCTCCTGGGGCCCTTCTGGGGGAACAGGGGAACCTTTGTGCCCACTAAGAACTTTTTTCAACACACTGCCCAAAAACAGGCGACAAACGTGAAGTATGGAAACAGCAACCCCAAATTTTTTAAAAAAAGGGGGAACGACACAAAGTTTTAGACTACAAAACAAGTGTCCCCCTACGTGTATAGCAGGGTAAGGTTTATGGAGAAGAATCGGGAGAAGGGGTGGAACACTTAAAAAAGGAATGACTTATAAAACGCAGCCACAGGGTTTCAGGGACTGGAAACCCTGTGTCACCAACCTATTTGGTTCTATGACGGGGGAAACGGCGTTAAGACCAAGAGATAGAGGGGTGGGTAGTTTTTGCGTTTTCCTTGACGGTAAAAAAGGGCTTTCGACAGAGTTCCACACAAAAAATTAAAGCGCAAGGCTGGGCCCAGGCAGGGAAAACGGGGAAGGGGCACTGAAAGTGGACCAGGGAATACCTGCCCTGAAGACAACAAAAAGTCCAGGTACGGGGCGAATGTCAAGTGGGCCCCCGGGTTTAAGGGCCCGGGGGGCCACAGAGGTCATTTTCAAGAATGGGGGTTTTTCTGGAATTTGTGAATGACTAAACAAAGAATAGAATCAGAAGTGTCTCGGGTTTGCAAAATGTTTGGAAGTTGAGAAAAAGAATTAAAATCGCACGAAGCCCAAGGTAGAACTCAATGGACCCTGGACAGGCTGCGGGCCTGGACAGAAACTGGCCCCTGAAGTTCAACCCCCCCCAAGTGCAAAGTCATGAAGATTGGGAAAAGGGCAAAGAAGACACAAAAGGGTTTAACAGCCTAGGGGCCAGAGATTCCCAAACCTCACTCGGGAAAAGGTTTTTTGGGGTGGGGAGAACCCCGACACATCTCTAAAAGCGCACATAAACCAAAAAACTGCTGCGCTTAGGGGGCCTTTTGGCAAACTTAAGAACCATTCAGCCATCTTAATAAGGAACCCGTTCAGGACCCTGTACCCCTGTGTACTGTGGCCTTTTGGGGAGTAGCCAGCGCCAGTTTGGGAAAACCTCCCCCAAACCAAGCTTTGAAGAAATTTAGAAAACCCCGTGAAAATTTTTTGCCACAAACTTTTCCCAGAGCTAAGGATATTCCACGAGGATTTTTTAAGGAAAATTCGACCGGGCGACACGGGAAGAAAAGGAGAAAGCTTTGGAAATTTGGTAACGACATAAAAAAAAATAAAAGGGGGAAACAGAAAACGGGATTTTCCCGGGAGAGGGGA